TGTCTGGTGGAACACCAGTTGGGGTGTCATATATTTTCATTCATGTATTTGAGTTAAGATTTTTTATTTTAAAGGAGAGAACAATTGGGTTATCAACGAATTAAAAACTTGGAGTCCTATTGGTTTAAGTCATATTTGGTGAATCTGCATTTATAGGTATGAGACCTAATGTTTTGTTGATAAGCAGGTAGAGCATCTATATAGCAATTAGCAATTAGTCTATATAGCAATTGTTGATAAGCAGGCATATGCCTCGGGATGGGTAGCCAGGGTAATAAGGCTCCCATAGCTCTGTTCACCCTGCTTACTCAAATGTAAGTAAAAAAAGCTTTGGATTTCTAAGATCACCCAGTTCCATAAAGAAAAGAACATGAGAAAAAGAGCACTTTACACATCAAATGTCATACAGTTGCTCAATAATTGTTCTAGTTTTATTAATAAATGCATTCTAATGTAGAAGCAACAAGCTGTATGGTCGTGTGGAATGACTTATCACCGTGATAAAATCTAAATTTATTTGTTTGGTACAAATATTTGATTTCATTAATTGTTTGGCCACGATGCGTTACGCTTGGGTGGTACAGGTGCTTCAGTGTCTAGAAGGAAATTTTACTGACATTTATGTTTGGCATTTTGACAGGGGAATGATATGCATAGGACAGAAGCGTTTCCGCAAAGCATTGAAGCTTCTGCACAATGTGGGCCAATGTTTTTTAGTTCAGCCATATTATATATATGTTTATATATATATATATATTTTGTAAAGTTTGTGACAATTGACTTGTTACATCATCCTTATGGCTTGCTGCTATCAAGTTGTAACTGCACCAATGTCTACTATAAATGCTATTGCAGTTGAAGCGTATAAGAAATACATACTTGTCTCTCTTATTCACCTTGGGCAGGTTGGCTTTATTTTTCTTCTTAATCATTCTATTTGATATTTATGTCTTGTAGAATAAGGAGAAGGTTTACAAAGAGGTGGCTGAATGAGTTGGGAAGATGTTGTTGTTATAAGTGAATCTTGTCCAGTGTAGTGCTTTTGTTTCGAAGAAGAAAAAACTATCCAATTGTTAATTAAGTTGCTAATTCTCTTGGACTTATTAACATGTTACTTCATTGAGTGGTTATCCCACATAATTTTGTTCCACTTTGTCATTGTTTCAGAATATTTTATGGCACAACTAGACCTAGTTATTTCAATAGAAAGATTTAGATCTAGCCACTTTAGGTACTATTACATGTTAAGTAGGACTAACTTGAGCATTTCCAACAAAAACAAAAAACTCAAAATTGCCGAATTGACGTATAGCATTTAATATTGTTGACCACCTCAACTGCTGCTCATTAACTTTGGTTTCTTGTAGGTAAGTAAGAAATTTGAAAATAAAGAATTTAAGGTTAATCTTTATTGAATTACAAGGAGGTCATTTAGGTAGGTAAGAAATTTGAAAATAAATAATTTTAGGTTAATCTTTATTGAATTACAAGGAGGTCAGTAGAGTAGAGGGGTCCAAATGAGTGGCATTTGTAATTAACTCTGATGTGTCCAATTTGGTCATTGTGAGAATGAAGTCATCACCAACACTCTTTATGAAACCTTACCGATACCCTTGAAGATGGGGTTTGAAATATGATGTCACTGTCAGTATCTTTAAAAACATACACTGCTGCAGTGCAAAATTAACACTATCATAGACAATAAATACTGCTGGATTGTCGATTCCGAGGTTCACAAACCTTTCAGGATCATTCCTTTGAAGTAACTACATAAGGAGAAACAAATAAACCATAAACAAAGAAAAAGTTTGTCAAGCTTGATTGTGTTTGCCATGACCATATATGAACCTTGCACTTTTCTCTGTGTAAACATGAGTCTCATTGTCCAATATGTTAATACCCATTTCAAATTTGTAATTAGCAGCTTATACTCTGAAATTGATAATTTGATTACCTGCAAATGAGTTAGAAATTTTGATTTGAACTTACGATTCTCTGAAATTGATAATTTAATTACCCATTTCAAATATTTCATTAAAAACAAACCTAACATTATTTCTTATTTTCTTTGGTATAGATGGATGATGGATGATCTCGTGCACGAAGCTAAATTGTACAAGACTACTTGGCAGTATAAGCATTTTTTGGAGGATTAAATATTTTTGGATGGATGTGTATGGATAACAAATATTAGTAGTTTTATTTGTTGATAGTTGCGCATGGATAACAAATAGTTATGTTCCAAATTGTTATGCTAGATGGATGTGACTTGTGAATGAAAACTTAGAATAGTTGTATTGTGTCGAATGTTAATGAATTATGTATTGTGTCGAATGTTAATGATTCAGTTGATTTGAATGATGCTTTAAAATTATAGGTTTATTATGGATTGAATGAATTATTAGGAATTACAGGTGTATTGTTTTCTTGCTTTTGGCGACCAATTTATTAGTCGTGACAAATAAATAATTTTTTTTCTCAAAAAATGACAAATGCCGACCAAGAGTTTTGGTCACAAAAAATACATCTATTGCCGACCAAAACAGCTCTTGGTCGTGGAAACTCACTTTTGCCGACCAAAAGTTTTGGTCGCGAAAAGTAACAAATGGCGACCACAATTTTTGGTCGTAGAAACTATTATTTAGCGACGAAGAAGTTTTGGTCGTTGAATGTAATTTTTCCCGACCAATTTTGTTGGTCGCTGAAAGTAATTTTTGCCGACCAAATTAGCGACTAGCATGTATGGTCGTTGAATGTAATTTTTGCCGACCAAAGTCTTTTTGTGACTAAATAGGTTAGTCGCGATAATTAACGTTTTGCCGACTAAAAATCTTTTTAGTCGCTAATTACTTTCTGCGACCCTCAATTGCCGACCAAATTGGCGACCAAAAAAATTGGTCGGGAATATGTTTTGCCGACCAAAAATGGACTTTTAGCGACCAATTTTTTGGTCGGCAAATGTGTTTATTCTTGTAGTGCAAATTGTACATGCATTAGGGTCGAGCGCTGACTAATTCGTCACTGCAGAGAAATTGTTGTCTAGCAATGTTGTACTCAAAGCAATGAGTTTGCAGGTATAGACAATGTTGTGCAACAAAGAACCATGATAAACTTTTTGTGCAGCCGAGATAGGTGGGTCGACAATTCTTCAGCTTACCGAAACACATTGGTTGGCGGAACACTTGATCAGCTAGTCTGTTTAGTTTTGTCTTTGCCGGGAGCTTGGTTGACAATGGTAAAGTTCTGGCTTTGATCCACTAGTCGGTGAGTCGACAACATCATTGGCTTTGGTCTTTTAGTTTGCCAAAATGAGTGATCGGCAATTGATTTTGTGATATTAACCAATCAGTTGTGTATGTTCGGAATGCCTTTGTTACCCTTCATAACATAACTTTCTTTATTCCATTGCTTGCTCAACCTCAAGCAAATTGCCGAAGTGGGTTGTCGAGCTGCTGGAATGGTCATTATAATTTTGCTGGACAAACTGAAATGAGCATCTAAAAAAGAGGTTGCCACAAAGGTCAAATTGATGAATAAATTTATATGCAAAGACTACAAAAATGAGTTAATGGTTAGAGAGAGAAAACAGCGAAATGTTCCTGTGAGTTTCTTTCTCTGTATCTTATTCTAAAATTCATAGCACATGGAGTGTTTGGCATGGAAAGCAAAGCTTTACTCCTACTGATGCAAATCACATTAACATATAAATAAACTTGCAATAGATGAGAGCAAAAGCATAATAGTATGTATTTATCATCTTCTTCGTTGAACTCTCAGACGTTTTCCACAGACGACGTCAATTGTGAGACCCAGAAAATCCTCTCACATGAATTGTTGATGAGATCCAACGAAGAGATGAGCTTGGCTCCTGTAGATCTGCAAGGATGAGTATGATTGGCGCCACCCAACCGGGGTTGCCGACCGGAGACACTCCGATGATAAAGTTAGCCAAGATAGACCAAAGAGAGAAGATGAAAATTTAGAGAGTGTGTGTGCTATGTGGCAAGGCAAATGAGGCATACCTCTTGTGTATGGGGTCCCCTCCTTTTATAGGAGATGGATGATATTTGTTTAGAATATTTTGCCCTTAGAGCTAAGATATTTTTATGGCTCCCACAAGCTTTTAGTTTTAACTTTTGATATAAGGGGAGAGAGAGGAAAAAAAAAAAAAGTCAAAAACAAATTAAAATTCTATTAGAAAATTGATAGTTAATTAAAAAAAGAGAAGAAGCACAAACTAGATCCATACTCTATGCTCTCCATCGTTTGACCTCTGAAACCCAATTGCAAAAGTTGCTGCCAAACTCTCACACAGCATAGGCACAGACGGTACACGCGGGTGCTGAGTACCACCTTTGGGCTGCCTGTGCATGTGCCTCGTTTGGGCATGCAGGTGCAGTGGTTGGGCTGCTGGTGCTGGACTGTATGGAAAATCCTGAATGGCTCTGCCCTTGTGCCAAAATCATCAATGGCCACCCCCAAGAATCACGAGCAAGACACCAAGTCAAACACGCAGCTCATGACACCAAACCAAGGAGGCCCTCAAAGTGTACCCCGGATGCTGAATTTAGGAGTCATGCAGTGATGCCAAACGTGCATACATGGCGTTGAATTTAGGGGCTGGCAAATTCAGAAGATGGGGAGCCAAAGAAATATGTGATGGAGACGACGGGGATGGGGGTGAGACTTATGTGACAGTCTTCCAAGGCATTCACAAAGGAGGGAAAGGTGGAGACGGCGAGGTAGTTCAGGGAGGAGCTGCAGAGGGTCAGGTAGTTTCTTCGTAACAAGTAGGGGCCCCGGTGTTTTGAAGTGTCACGAACATACTCTTGGGCAAGTAGCTCAATGCTAGTTGATTTTTTATGAATTCTCTATTCTTCATTTACGTGTATACACACATGATCTTGCTAGAAATTAAAGCCCACCAACACATCCTGTTTGATGGTTTGACAAAAAACACTATGTAGAAATAACATAGACAATTAAAGCCAACCTTACGGGAGTCTGCATGGCAGAATGAAATCAGCTCTATAGAAATGAAACTGAGGTCTACATAGGGTTAAAACCAATGGCAGGAAAAAGCAAAGAACAAAAACACACAAACATTAAATAAGGTCAGAAGCCAATTAAACATCAAAATAATTGGCCTGTCAATAATATCACATAAATTGGGAGATGAGGTTGGTGAAGTGAGGTTTGCAGGAGATGACACAGAAGCTGCTTGTCTGCAACTCTTCACAGGAGCTTTTTTTCCACCTTGCAGACCTCTCAAACGGTCTCTCTACTTGAGACACAGTATCTCACGTCAATGCTCAGCAGCAGTTGCAAAAGTGGCTGGAGTTACAGAAGTTATCTCTCATCTGTTTACAAGCAGTTGAAGGAAACCTGGTGCAGCAGCACAGGGCACGAAAACTAATAGCTTTGCTTCTTGGTGGGGCATTCTGATGCCCTATGGCCAGACCGCCCACAATTGAAACATGCACCACCAAAGCTTCTGTCATCAACAAGAAAATGTTGTATCAATTTTAAATGTAAAGCTTATCATATATGGTTGATATGTTTCATGACAATAATGGTTATTAATGTATCCTCTAGTTTTGAGCATGCAAACAAATCCCCCACCTTCACACAACATATAATGTTGATGTGAAGGCACATGAACTAACAAGGGGCATCCGAAGAGCATTCAACTAATCATTAGGCTGTGTAGTCTCCCTATCCAATACACTAGAAAAATGACTGTCTTTAGGTTACGTTTGAATGGCTGGAATCAATAAGTAGAATGAGAATCCAATTCGATGTCTCCTTCAAAACTTGGGTGCATTTAAGGTAATGAGATTGCATCACCAAACTAGCAGAAATCTCACATTCCTTGACTATTTACAATCAAAAAAAAAAAAAAAAAAGGTCCGGTGTTTCCTAGACTATTTATATTACTAACGGAATCTCATTATTAGTAATTGGATTCTTTTCTCTTCACTTCTTACCATCCAAACATAGCCTAAAATAATAATAATATGCAAACAAAAGGGAAAGTACCTGTCCCTATTTCCAAAGGATGACCGCCCAGAAGATTGCCTACCACCTATTAGCCAATCATTTCCACTGTCTCTTGAGCTCCGAGCGCTGTTGTTACCATGACCACCATGCCTAAAACCAAACACATCCTCATCATCGTCAGAATCCCGACCCCGACCCCGACCCCAACCCTGACCCCGACCACGTGAGCTTCTGAAACCTCTTTGTTCCCTTGAACCTCCCCGGAAACTCCTATCCTTGTTAGAAAACTTTCCATAGTAATCACTTGGAGGTCCATCATCTTGCAAAGTAGGCAACTGCAAAATACAGATGAACGGCATACATTTTAAGTGTCCATTAATTTAACAATGGGAATCAACTAAAACATGGAAATGAAGTTGGCGAACTCGAGCATTATATGTTGTAATACAAGAGCTATAATAAGAGAATGATCACAAATTAGACTAGACCTTAGTAATTTTGGAAATAGTGTTTCCTGGTGGTATCTGTCTATTCAGTAGCTCTTTTGCGATCTCCTCTGGAAGATCAAAAACTGCTCCTTGAACCTGACATTACCAATATAAAACAATTTTATTTTAACAAAGCAATGAATCAATGGAAAATGTTTATAATCAACGTATCTGTTACAAACACACCCTTTGGTCTGCAATTAAGTGTATTTTTCCAACTTCATCAGCGGCAGAAGGATAAACATCTGACAAGAATCCAGTGACAGATCTAGCAGACAAGAACCCTCTAGAAAGACCCGAATCACGTGTCAGCTGCAATGTTACCAATCCCTGCAGTGTAAGTTTACAATTAGATTGGACTATCAGCTATTTGCAAGTGTGGCACAAAGATAGTGGAGAAATATGAAATTTGCAGAAGATTAAAAAAAATAGGAGATTGGGCACAAGTAAATTGTACAGAACCAAAAAGCCACTACCAACCAACCATGCGCCAAAGCATCAACAATAAGGCACAAATGTGCATACCACCTCCTAGTAACCGGTAGGTGTTGTGCCACAACAAAAGCTTTGAAACAATTAAGAAAAATAAGTAAAACATAATCGTCTTCTTTTCCATGATGCTCACAATTAACTTCATCATGTAATTATGTATGCCATTGAATTTTTTTTTTTTTTTGATCAGCAACAGTATGTCATTGAATTAACTGAAAAGTAGTTGAACCTTTGGCCCATAGTTTACCTGCTCATGTGTAATAAGAGACCTGGATGATGGAGGTCGGGAAAAACCACTCAGCTGTGCTATTGCAGCAGCAAGGGCACCAGTGCCGTGTTCTTCGATTAACTTTTGTGCAGTTGGGGTGAAGAACTCCACAGACTCGGGATGAACTCCACTAAGGGTAGCAACCACTTGCGCAGCTGAAGACTCCAAAACCTTTTCAACAGATGGTGGACTAATAAATTCAAACTTACACCCAACGTCACGCTCAAGAGAACTGACTGTTCTCCTCTGGTTACTGGTGAACATTAGAATAGTTGAACCCTCTTTTCCTGCTCGTCCTGTGCGACCAGAGCGATGCACAAAAGTCTCTGGATCATTGGGTAGTTCATAGTGGATAATCTAGAGAGAAAAGAGCCCCAAAGTTAACATTAAGTTAAAATCACATTCCGAACTAAATAAAAGGGCAGCACAGTGCACGAAACTCCCGCCACTGTGGGGCCACAATGTTATCACTTACCAAATCAACATTGGGGATATCAAGCCCCCGAGCTGCAACATCAGTAGCAACAAGTGCGGTGAATTTCCCTTGCCTAAAGCCATTTAATGTCCTCTCCCTCTGGTGTTGCGATATGTCACCATGCAGTGCCTCTGAAGCAATACTACTTGTCAATGCCATTGAGACTTCATCTGCATCACGTTTTGTCTGTGTGAAAACAATGGTCTTCCCACCCTTCGCATAGACCTGAAAATCATTAAAATTTCAAAAGTATGGATACTTCTATTAACATGTCCTATTTATTCAATAGATAAAAACTCAACTTCTATTTACTTGCATGAATAGATACAAGTTCAATAAAATAAACTGCTAATTCTTACCGTTACAAGATCACTAAGAATAGTACGCTTTGAAGTTGAAGTGGTCGGTATGGCATACATCTTGATCCCCTCTGCCAACTTTTCGTCTTGGTCACCAACCTAGGGAGAAACAAGAATGAACAAGCATAAAATTAGTTTGATTGGAGGACGACTTCGACATGAAACATTAAATTATTGTATCTCAAAGCAGCAATCCAAAAGTCTACCAACCTTTAAGAGGTAATGATATAATCAAGATGACAAAGAAACAGAAGTGCCAAGACAATGGATGGAATAATGTCATACTATGCTTACTTAATACAGGATGGACACTTACTGTATAGCCACCCGTACACCCCTTGGCTACCATCCTTTTCTCGCAGAGGAAGCAAGATTGGAGGTTAGTACATTTGCTCATTGAGGTTTATCCTACTAACAAATCACGGTGAATTCATAGCATTGCGAATAGCAAGGCACGGCACTCTTTCAATTTATGTACTGATAGTGTAATATAATAATCATCGCATAACTTCCACATTGTGAATTCAATTTCAGATCCTCAGCTAAACGTAAACGTCAAACTTCAATTAGGATTCAATGTTTGACTCGAAGAAATTTCTAATGTCATTCATTAGTATGGATAGTTCATTCATATATGTTAGTTACAAGTCCTTCAGCAGAATTGTCATCTTTCTTATCCCATGAAATAACAAAAGGACTAATTAATGAGTAGGCATGTTTGATATTGGTCGCATTCATTCCCCAACAATATAACATTTTGTCCAACATCAGTCGCAATTAATCAACCACTGAAATTTGGACCAGATCATACTCCGATCTTAACTCATTACATTGACCAACTGAATAAAATTCAACTGTACACAATAACAGAGCTTGTACTCATCTGGCCAGGGTAGTGTGTAAGTGTAATAAATATACTAGGCCAAGTTTCAACTAGAGTGAAGCACATAAATATTTGCTACACCCCATGAAGAAGTGCCTAGAAAAAAATGTTAGATCCATCATCTTGCAACACCAACAGTTGCAACAAAGGCAAAGACTCTTGTTGGCTGAACATCCAGTCAGAAAACTCGTAGGATTACTAAAGCACCAGAAAGGGATTTTAAACTTAAAGCTACCACCCTGATTAATTAATTGTAGCCAAAACAACCTGCACTTAAAAATGAAAATAAAATCAAAGAAATCCTAAGAGCCAACAAATAGAAATGTACTCTTGCATTACACGCGGAAGAACTCAGCAAACATACACTTGGAAACAGTATAAGATAATAAAGAGAAGATAAGAGAAGAGTTCAATGCTATGGGATGTCTTGGCCTTTCTGAAAGGAGAAGAGAAGGAAGGTTTGGCTTCTGATTCCATTATGTCTTATGTGGATTATCTGGAGTAAATGTTATTCGAGATTTTTTAGTGGCGCAGAGGAACTTATGCATAGATTAAAGAGTCATTTTGCTACCATTTTGTAAAGTTGGATCTCTAAAGGCCTAGTCTAAATTGTAGATAAATTTTTGGATTTTGTTGATGATTTAGTTTTGTCACCCGCATATCAATCATCCAGAGAAACAAACAGAGGCAGTTCATACATACTCCATCGAATGATAACATTTTTGAAGAATATAATTTCTAACATAAGTTTATTATTTAAAAAATAACAGAAAAATAAAAATAATTTATTGACACATATAGTACATGCCATACCATGCAACGCTATGAAAAAATAAAAGAAAAGACAAAAAAATTACCAAATCAATGGTCAAAGGATTGTCCAAGTATTTCCTTGCCAATTTCTTTACCCAAGCAGGCATAGTTGCTGAGAAAAGCATGCTCTGCCTCTTTGCTGGAAGCTTTTCTAAAATCACTTCCACATCTTCCTCAAATCCAACTGCAAGCATTTGATCAGCTTCATCAAGGACCAAATATTGAACTTCACCCAGTCTCAAGCTGTCACTCTTGATTAGATCAATGATTCTACCCGGAGTTCCCACCACCACATCAACTCCACGGGAAAGTGCATTCTGCTGTGTATTATAAGAAACTCCTCCATAGACACAAACTGCATTCAAATATGGTGCAGACTCTTTGATCTCTTTCTCTACTTGCTTTGCTAATTCCCTAGTGGGTGCAAGGACCAACATTCTAGGAAGTTGTCCACGCCTTCAAACAAGCAAACAAACAATAAATGCATTACTCATCAAGAACAACAAAAACAAAAATGAACAAAAAAAAGAAGAAGCCATAGAAGTGAATGATGTTATGTTTACCTCTGAGAACTTCTTTCATCTTCAGTAAGCTGTTTAAGTATCGGTATTGCAAAGGCTAATGTCTTCCCTGTCCCAGTCTTTGCGCGAGCAATAACATCTCGACCTTCCAAAGCCGGTACAAGCACGGCTCTCTAACATGATTGAATGGAGAGCAAAAACAAAGAATATCAACTTCCTTTTCAATGCAGAACATTTATATAATAAATATAAGCACACATATTGTGTGTGTTTGTGTGTGTGAGAGAGAGAGTTTCCACAATACACTTTCATAATAGTGGAGCCAATGACTGTCTACTAAATGGAACTACAAGGAAAAAAAATTAAACAACAGATCATTGCGCCTGAACGGACTGGTATTTAACCATGGCCTCCGGGCTATATCACACAATAATAACAATGCAAAGCACACAATAATAACATATGAATTGAGCATTCCTGAGTTCATATTCACTAGGAACTCCACATAGATGCAAACAATTCTAGTGTCAAAAAAGCACGTGTTCTGATCACGGGTGCCTGAGGATTTGTGAAGAGAAAGGTCAGTAAAATGCATGAAATCAATTAAGGCAAATGGATATAAATATAAGGCAATTAAAATTAAAGAGCATTAGCATTGTCTTGTTGCTGAACAAAGAAACTGCAACTATAATTTTTTAGTGGACCTTTCATTTTTTTTTTTTGGGATTCCATTTATGGACCTTTTTATACCACCGAAAACTAAGGCATTAGGCACGGGATCCCCTGTTCTTAAAAAGGGTTAGGCCGTGTCCCATGTATCACCCAACTCTAAATTAAAAATTACTTACTGTGGCTGGGAGATGCATGGAATATAGGGGCATATGGTTTTGGGAACAGAGGATTCCAGCCCACAACGGCAAATAACTTTAATAACTCTCTATTTCATTAGTATTTAATAATATACAATGAAATTTCCAATTGTTTAACATGCTAGTTAATAGCATCAATTCATCAAGTCAATTTTATTTATACAAGAGGTACATGTCAATTATTGTATACTCTTTATTTATTTTTATGTTTTTTGCTAGATTATGTCAACCAACAAAATGGCTTAAAACAGCTAGAGCGGTCCACTAGATTATCTTGGACTAGTAATGTATAAATTTTATTTTATTTTATTTTTTACATGTATCAATCATCTTGGTTTACATATTCTTGTTCTAGTAATCAACAAAGTCTCCACAATTACCAAGGTTTTATTCCATGTGTCAATACATATAAATGAATGCATAAAATTTTCTTCTTAAGAAGCCCTTGAACTGTTCTTTCACAATTATGCATAAAAAAAATCAATTCCAAAATTGTAAACAATTCGAAGTTTTAGAAGACGTACTTGAATAGGGAAAAGGTGTGTAATCCCTCGATTCTCGAGAGACTGAACGAGTCTCTGTGGAAGACCTAAATTGGAAACAGCAAGTTCGTCTTCACCACCATCTCCAGACAACAACTTGGAAACCTCAGTTTCGGAGTCGTAATCCCTGACATCCAGAGAGTCTTGACCGAACCCGCCGAGTCCCTTGAATGCCTCTTCGCTCAATACTGAAGAATTCGATGTCGCAACCGCCGAAGCAACAATCGAGACGCCGTGGCCGAGCTGCTTGGGGCGGAAATGGGCGGCGAAGGGGAGGGAGAGTGGAGGCGGAGGAGTAGAGGTGGGTCTTGGGTGTTGGTGGTGGTGGTAGATGGAGGAGACGCTTATGATGGAAGAAGAGCAAGCCATCTCGCTTCGGCGGTGGCGGAAGCGAAGACGGCGGTGGTTAAGCAGGGAGGAATATGTATGTCTAGGGGAGGGAGGCAGGGATAGAGAAAGTGTAGTGGATAGATAAGGCCACACTCACAAAATAGGTTTTGCAATTTATGGCGTTAATTGACCTCTGTCATATTTTCTTTTCCCCCATTTTCTTTTCTTGTCCTATTCATAAACCTATTTACGTTGGGTTTGATTGGATAATTTGACAACTGATTTTAGACGAGGTATGAAATTATATAAAATATACATATGTTTTATTCATATTCTACATATATGTCTTTTTTTATTTTTTAAATTAATTTTTAAATCTTATAATTAAACACAGTATTAAAAAATAATTTTATTCCCACAAGCTCGGTTGTTTTAGGAAATAAGAAAAAAATATTAATTCTTTAACTTTTTTATTTTAAATATATATATATCTATATAATAAGTCACAAAGGTTTTTGAATTTATGTAAAAAATGTATGTGAGATAAATTTTGATCCAATGGCTGAGATTAATCCCATGTTTATATCAATGGTTTAGATTTGCTTTGGATGGCTCACATTTCCCGCCCCATACCCTCTGTCTCTCCCATACCCTTTGTCTTCCCATTCCTACTCTCTGATGAGATGTGAAGCTTGGCTTAAAGCTGCTGCAGAGTTGATCTTCCCATTCCTACACTTTTTTATATAATGTGAATGAAGCAGATGTATGTCGATCATCAGTCATCAAATACTGCTGCAGAGTTGATCTTCCCATACCATTTTTTTCCCATACCCTCTGTCATCAATACTGCTGCAGATAGTGAGGTGTGTATTGTATATATTGTTATAGCATTTGATGATAGCATTTGATGATTCCAATGGCTGAGATTAATCCCATGTTTATATCAATGGTTTAGCTTTGCTTTGGATGGCTCACATTTCCCGCCCCATACCCTCTGCCTCTCCCATACCCTTTGTCTTCCCATTCCTACTCTCTGATGAGATGTGAAGCTTGGCTTAAAGCTGCTGCAGAGTTGATCTTCCCATTCCTACACTTTTTTATATAATGTGAATGAAGCAGATGTATGTCGATCATCAGTCATCAAATACTGCTGCAGAGTTGATCTTTCCATACCATTTTTTTCCCATACCCTCTGTCATCAATACTGCTGCAGCGTTGAGAGAAGCAGATAGTGAGGTGTGTATTGTATATATTGTTATAGCATTGATGATAAATTGTATATATTGTATATATTCTATGTCATAATTTGATGATAGCATTTCATAGTAGAAGTTTCATTTGCCTTCGGGGGGAAAAAAAAGAAGGAAATAATAGAAGTTTGTGTTGTGATACAAATGAAAATAATACATCCGATTCATAATAGAAGTTTGTGTTGTCATATATCCGATTCATTTGCATTTGTTTTTTCAGAAAAAGCATGGATAAGAAATACTTTTGAGCTTTTTCAGAAAATGGGTTTGTATGATATAGATGATCACGGGTGGGTTTGATGTGTGCCTTCATCAGCCTTTGAATGATATAGATGTGTGCCTTCATCAGCTTTTGAATGATATAGATGATCCACTCGATGATATAGTCTTTTTTCTATGATTACACGGGTGGTTTAAGAACCTACCACTTCCTGAAATGGATGAAAATTCTGCAGAATGGGTCAGGCCCACACTTCCTGAAATGGATTAAAATTGTAATGTGTTTCCATGTAACTCTTTTCTGGGCCTTTTATTGTCTGAAAATATTTTAAAAAATAACATTAGTAAGGCCTTTTTATGCTCCTCTGACGTGCAATAATGCTTCCTTTTGTATTCTCATCGTCTGTGACTCTCTCAGTGTACAGTATTTGAGAATTTTTGGGATCCCAACTTCAGAATAATGTCTGTGATATTAATATTGATATATGCTGGATGATATATTGATATATGCTCCAGCTCTGTTCTGAGGGAGCTTAAAGGGAAAAATTTCTAGCGTATATGCTAGATTTCAAGGGAGCTTGAAATCTAACATTAGCAGCTCCAGCTCTGTTATGATATACGCTAGATTTAATGGGTTCTTAACTGCTGGAGCATTTTAATTTTAATATTTGTCTATATTGATATATGCTCCAGCTCTGTTCTGAGGGTTAAAAAAATGTCTGTGATATTGATATATGCTGGATGATATATATGTTGTACCTCTCTAAATTTAATGGGTTCTTAACTGCTGGGTTCAAATCGTATTGTAGTTTACTACTTACATATCATACTTGGATTTGAAGTAGGTTTTGTTGTTGATTCGAATCGTATGCTCATATTTCCTTCAGTCGTTGTTTGGTTGCCTAGAAAAAGAAAAAAGAAAAAAAAAATCATTTTTCTTTACGAATTTTGGTCTTAATTGACAAGTGGAAAACTTACTGTCTAGAAGCAATTGAGGCGTTGTTTATCCTATCAATTGCTTATCCTTTTAGTTTCTTTGTTCTTAATTAATAAGTGGAAAACTGGAAAGTCTCTCGCTAGAAGCACGTCGTAACTAAAGAAATTGTGCGGTCCTCAATTGAGGTGTTGTTTGGTTGTATAGAAAAACAAAAGAATTTTTTTTCTTATTTTTGGTCTTAATTGATTAGTGGTGGAACTTACTCTCTAGAAGCAAGCCATAACTAAAGTAGTTGAGAAAGAAAAAAAAAAAATTTTGAATTGTTTATCCTTTTTATTTTTTGGTTTTAATTAATTAGTGGAAAACTGAAAGCTTACTCTCTAAAAGCAAGTCATAACTAAAGTAATTGTGCGGGCCTCAATTGAGGTGCTGTTTGGTTGTATAGAAAAACAAGGGAAAAGAAAAAGAAATGGAAAATTGAATTGCTTTTTCCTTTTTATTTTCTTTTTTTGGTCTTAATTTATTGGTGGAAAACTGATTCCCTAGAGGCAGACAATAACTAAAGTGATTGTGCTACCTTTAATTGAGTTCATAATTGCAGTTTTCAATGTTTTTTTCACTTATCCTGCATTAGCTCAGCATTGAAACGGAGGATGTCGTTACATCACAATAGCTTTAGTGGCTAATTTCTTCGAAATTGAGTGTTGTGATGTGATATAAGATGTTTGTTCGTTGAGAAAAAGGACGATCTTTAAGTAAACTACGATTTGAGATTCTGATTAGAAGCAGTGCTACCCTCAATTGAGTTCATTATTGAAATTTTTGAATTTTTTTTACTTATTCTGCATTAGCTCAGCATTGAAAGGAGGATGCGGTTACATGACAGTAGCTTTTATGGTGTGTGCAGATTTTATTGGATTACACGGGTGATACAAATCAAAAGAAATTCTGCACAGTTAAGAAATTCTGCAAATCAAAAGAAATTCTACAAATCAAAAGAAATTATGCACAATTAAGAATTTCTTTTACACAGTTAAGAATTTCTTTCCAGCAGTTAAGAAATTCTAAGAAATTCTGGATTACTTGAATTCAAATTCTGCACAGACTAATCATTTCACTATCTTCTTCTTGAATTTTTTTTTCCTCTCTCAGCTTTTGCCTTCATCAGAGCTTCTGTGGATCTCTCTGACCACTCTCAAGGTTGTTCACTCCGGCTGCGACATCACTTCGGCTACTCAACATCCTGCTCGGCTGCTCGACATCCTGCTCGATTAGTTTAGAAAATATTCAACAGACCACCATACTTCTATAATTATATCTGTGTATTAGTATACTGGTATAAGCTTCTATCTGTGTATTGTTTTTAATTTTAGTAAATTTTATATGCAAACATATATATAGGTTGCTAATATAACAGGTATGGATCCAAATTCATTAAAGAACTTAAAGTTTCTATAGATAAAAGATGTATATTCTGCATTTATATCTGTGTATACTACAATTTCTGGAGGGATTGTAAGACTGACACACATATAGCACTTTATACAAACTTCATTTCCTTCTATCATCAATCTACTTAGTGACAAGTAACAAAGGGTGTAATAGAGATTTGCTTTTTTATTTAACATTTTTTCCCCTCCCCTTATCAGACTACATTTTCATGTCCTAATTTCAATCTGACATCATAATAAATATATGGATACCAAATTGGTAATAGTAAATATTCACACTCACTTTTTTGTCTTGCTGATATAGATTTTCCTACCTCAACAAAAAGAAAAGATGTTCTCAAAAAAATAAAAAAATAAAAAGCACATTGGCTGTTAAAGGTAAGATGTTATCAATGGTTTTCAAAAATAAAGGGACTGTTTTGTTCATTTATTTTTATTTTTTTTTTCTTTTGTTATTGAGCCAACTGATATATACGGGTGAATTTTTTTCTTTTGTTATTTCTTTTGTTATTGCTTTGCTATTGGTGATCATAGGTATGATAGCACAGAGGAATAATTACTTTGTTCCCATATCAAGGTTCTAGAAGAATAATCTTCAAACTATGATCACCAATACATATATGCTTGATTTGTGATATGCTCTTCTGTGTGTGTGTGGGGCAAACCCATTCCTCCAATTACAAACAATGCCCAATAGTATTATGACATAAAGTAATCAGTTACAAGGTTCAACACGTTTCCATTAAGAAGCATGTGGATACGTGTTGGTGTTTTATGTAAATTCACAACCTATATGCTCTATAGGTGTTTCATGTATAACATTTTTATGGTTGAAAACATTTATGAACCTGCAAAGAGGTCTATAATGTTCTTTTTGTTAATCTGTTTGCACATTTTATGGAGCTCTTTAATATTTGTGGTTTACTTTTATGGATGATGTGTCATGGTATATGTTTTTTGTAGTTGCAAAGGCTATGTTTTTTTATCACCAAAATCACTTGGCTCTGTTTTTTATCACCAAAATCACCAAAAATTCTGCTCAATGTGGTTACTGTCAACTGTTTATCACCAAAATCAGAAATTTTTTATCACCAAAAAAACATTAAGCAAAAATTAGTTTGGTGTTCAAAAAAAAAAAATGTTAATACACATTAGTTTTGTGTTTACACGTTAAGTATTCTAAATTTTTTTACAGATATTGATGTGCTTTAGTACATAGAAAATACGCTAGAAAATTGGCGTAGGAAATTGGCGTAGAAAAGCATTGAATTCAGTTTATAGACAAACTATAGAATAAGAATTCTTGATT